AACGCCTACTAAACCTTTACACGCCATGACACAGCTCCTGGACCCACGCCCCTGCTGCCTGCCGCCCGGCATCCGGGGCCACCTTGAAGGCCAGCCGCGTGCCCACTGCAGGGAAGACGCCACCCTCGAACTGGGAGGGAAGAACCTGGAAGGGTTTTATACTATACCATTGTAAAAAGGAAGTCCTTTTGTGTTGCGTGCATCCGTGCGTCTGTTCGTCCGTGCCTCCGTAAGTTCGTCCGTCCGTGCGTCCGTGCGTGCCTTCGTGCGTGCGTGCGAGTTGCGGGTTTGCTCAATGCGTGCGCTTGCGAGTGCGCGTGGGTGTGCGTGTGGGTGTGTGCATATGATTGTACTCCATTCTATGTTGTGTACAAACAGTCTACAATGCTTGCTTTACGCCATACACCTCTAAAATAAACCGCGCATACAGCTCGTCATGAAATGCCAAGAGGCGAAGACATCCCCACCATTGCCATCTGGCTGGATGAATCCGAATGTCCCGTTGTCGCGTGCAAATTGCCCTGGCGAAACAGTCGCAGGCTTGCGGTTTCGAGCTTGGTGTTCAAGATGCAGAGGTCTGCAAAAGAAGCTTTGTCGCGCGATTGTGTTCCGAACTCTGAAGTAGATTTGGGCAGAGCCTAGCCTCGCCACCTTCCTGATTCCTCAAATTCGTCTCAGCTTGCTGCTCCGGCATCCCTGGTTCTCAAGGCCATGGCCTCTGCGAAGCTCAACGGTAACGCCTTCAACGGATCCTGGCAGAGGCTGGCTTCATGGGGCGTATTGGATTCGGGGTTGAGGGCTCTGAGGGTTCACAGGCGTTGAGGGTGTTTTTTTGCCACCCGCCCAGCTGACTGTTTGAGGATTTAGAGGCTATGAAGTTTGGGGGAGGGTTTACGCTCTCGCGCAACTCGGACAGACCCTGACGAGGTCTCTCTGTTCGGGCTGGGGTCTGTGAAAGGACACAAATTTAGGGGAGGGTTTAGGAAATTGCGGGTTTGCGGTTTAGGGCCCATACCCTCTGTCTTAGAACCCCGCAGTGTCAAGCAAAAGCCACCCACAACACTTTTACAACAATTTACAACCCTGCCATCAATCCGATGCCCTAAACCCACAACCTACTTCGGAACCAAAAATCAAGCCTCGCTGCTCACGACGTGCTTTTGGAGGATGGCTCGGCTCGCGGGGCACTCGAGACCTTTCACAGCCGCAGGTGAGGGCTGTGAATCCATGGAAAAACCAAAACAGACAATCAAGCATAATTATATACGGGGTGGACAAGTGGACAAGCAAACAACGCATGTGCTAACACGCATGAAGACAACTTTGCACATATATATATGTGTGTATATATATATGCGCACACACACACATGCATGATCATGCATGTATATGTACACATCCATGCATGCATTCTTACATGCGTATATAGTGACGTCTCTTGCTGACGAACTCTCCAATGATCTCCCTCTGTCTGTGTACATAGGCGAATATGCAACGTAAATTACCGTATGCATCATACAGCAGTATAGAGATAAAGACTACGGTTGGAGCACATTAATCGTTTTGACTGCGCTCCTTGCGTTCGAGACATGTAAGTCCGCACGCACACGTTTTCTTGTTGAGTATACAGGCATACGCATAGATGCATAAGTGTGGCAAGGTGCATACAAGGCCGGAGAACTCGGTCAATAGGAAAACCAAAACTACAGTTCTAAACATTCATGAATACTGTAGCCTCAGACACGTACGTATACCCACTCCACAAGTTCAAGTCACCCTGCGCCGAACATCAGGCTTCATAAAACAACGCGGGCGCATACAGGCATCTGTGCATGGAAAACAATCATGATTTGGTGACTGGTTCGAGCAGTCGGAGGACTTTGCTCTCAACATGTGTGGGTGTGTCACCATCGCATGGGACAAGTGTAGTGATGTCACAGCGACACTGCGATGAGAGCTGCTGGAAGCCTTTGGAACCTCAATGGCCTTTACCATTTGCCACCGCTCGAGTGCCCGACCCAGGAGCTCCTGAAGCTGAAGGAACCGAGCCAGAAAATCTGACCACATCCTGCGAGGGTCACGAAGATTCGCGAAGCTCAGCTGGCTAAGCTAACCTTGACGTCCCATGCCTTCTAGCACACAGCGCCTGCTTGTGATATCTGATACACGCCGGTGATACGCGTTTGCCGATTCTTTCTGTAGGCCTGTGCCCCTGCACTTAGCACAAGACCCGGCAAGCTGCCACCTGCAGTAAAGAACAAGCATCAATGTGCGCATGGTCATGAGAAGCTCCTAAGCGACTTCCCCCGGCTCCAAAAAAATGCAGCTGCAAATCCTCTGCGCGAGGGCGGCCGGTCTTGCGATCTTCGACGACGCTGAAAGACACGGGCGTGCCGATCTCGAACATCTCACCTCCTGCTCTGTGTCCACACGTTCGAAACAGAATTAACGAGCAAGCTCTTCGCGAACAAGGGTGGAACATCTCAAAATGCTACGTGTAGTGCTATGGGCCAGGCCTTCGCACGACCAGGGCAGCACAAACATCTTGTCATGATTGTGGTCAGGATGCTGGTCACAACGAATGAAGCCATAGTTGCCATGGTCCCCTTCCTGACGTGTCAAGCAAAACTGAAACCTAGAGCGCTTTGAAGTCGAATCCCAATCTGCCCCCTCGCCAAGGACGGCAGGCCCCAATTGAAAAAAGGGATCTCTTTATAAAAAACAGCCTGCGGTCAGCAAAGAGCTAGCACAAGGATGTCGCGCGACTACATCGCACAATTGGGATACTAACGAACAGACAATTGTAGCATGACCGTATGACCTACTTCCAATCGTCGTAGGTGCCAGATTGAAGGGCAAGCGGTTTCATCGCCAGAAGGGCGCAAGATGCACCAGATTTCACTGCGTGACTCTTGCTTGGAGTGTCGACTACACTTCCGAAAATCAGTGTTACTCTTACTCGGAACAGACGGCCGGCGGCGGGCTATAGGCTGAAGGATTTTCAGACCTTTGGAGTGTTGCTCGAAATCGGATTCTGAGAGAAGCATCGATGACTCCAGTGTATCGATCGTCTGCCCCGTCAGGCTTGGCAGGGTGCACCTCGCCAGCTGTGACAGTTTCGTCCAAAGCTGAAAGACTTTCTGTTGGACACATGGCTCTAGACATGCAAGCAATCGGCAGGAGGGTCCTGACTTCGGTAGAGCTGCTGAGGAAGTTGCACCCCTGCTTCATTCAATTTCTCAACTCCTCTCTCCTCACAATGCGGCCGAATGGCATCTAGAGCAAAGTAGGCGTCTGTGTTCGACCCACCTTGGGCCGATAGGTTTGGGAAGTCCGGCCGAGATTACTCCCGGCACATATCTGGGGTCACGGTTTGTTTAGGGTGTGCCTGTAAAGCCCGAAACTCATCTCAGCACAAGAATGCAAGAGCCCAATGCCCACAGCAGGACCCGTCACATGACAGTGCATTCGCATTGCTGTGGGTTAGTAAAGGTTGCCTCATTTGGCTGCTCTCCGCAATTAGAAGGATTAAGGGCTTCCGGGTGGGTCGAACCTGTCTTCTTCACTGACACATTTGGTGCCAAAAAACTCATGTGCTTGTCCGCACAGGTTCCGCAAAACATGGCGCCCGAAGCATCAAGGAAAGGTTCAGCGGCGCCGGGGTGCAAGCAAGTCGGAGACGGAGCTGATCTCTCTTAGCTTCTGTGGGGTGCATAGACCCCGCCACCACAGCTTCCGAGCGCTTCCATGCGCACGGCAAGCTGCCACTGAGTGAATGCAGCTGGCAAGCTTGCTTCATTCCAAGATAGACATACCTCTAATCTTCTACACTATATACTAGCATCCAGAAACACGAAGCTCCACAATACGGACCGGATCAGCATGGAGCCACGATTTTCTAAAGTTGGAGTGGCTTGTGGGACCAAAACCGTGCATCAGCCGATGAGCCGATCAACCCTGAACCCTATAAACCCCTAAATCCTAAACCCCAAACCCTATTTTTGAACCCAGACTCTGCCAATCAGCTAGGAAGCAGCACTTCCAGACCATTATTGCTGCCCTTTTGCAACTGGCCTGCGGCGACTCTGCCAGGAGGAATTATTGCTGCCCTAAACCCCTGAACCCTAAACCCCTAAAACCCAAACCCTAAACCCGACCACCCGAGCAGCCGATCGGCTGATGTGCAACTTGGAAACCGACTGTGAGAGCACAATGGATTTCTAGTTCTTGACTTGTTCTCAATGATAATTCTGTTCAAGATGCTGGCGCGCTGCTTCGTCACAGTGCCTCGCATCGAACCGGGTGCTACGGTGCCAGAGCAAATCTTTGTAGCCCTCAACATCCCTGAAGCCGAATTCAAACGCCACGCTGATTCAGCACGGTCAGCAGTGATATGAGGGCGATTCGTCGCATGGCAGGTTGCACGCGAAGAAAACCTTGCATGCCCCCATGCAAAACAGCAAAGGCTTACACAAATGCGGCTGAGCTTCATGTGACGACGGCACCCAGCGGAGGCAGCTCACCACCAAAACCCGGGCCTGTGCTGGACCGGGCCTATCTTTTAGGGTTTAGGGTTTTAGGTTCAGGGTTTAGGGTTATTATAGAGCAGCAGCATTCCAAGCAAATTCACCTTGCAGAACAACATCCGGCTGCACTTGCGCAGGCTACCTCCCAAGCCCAAGTGTCGATATCGAACACCCAGAAGCCCAGGCTGTCGATAGGGAAACCAATCGGCATACAGTACCGGAACAACTAACCGAACCGTGCCAAGTGTTTCCTTTCCTTCGGCTTCCTCTTTTTCCTTCCCTTCCTCTCCTAGGGCGTCTACCTTGGTGGGCGCTTTGGGGGTGCAGAGTACGACTTGCACGGGTACCTGCACTACAACGTCATATATATATATGTATATTGAGGGGCTTTGCCTGGCCAAAAGTCTCAGAGAAACTGGCCTCGCTACTCATTTCAACTCTTGCGCTAATGTTCGTCTTTGAAAGCCCGGGCACAGTTTGAGGGTATGACGAGAATCCGATCGTCACACTCTTCTGACATGATGAAGCCGTATTTCGGGGTCCTGTCGACGGGCATAGATTGTGGGCAGGTTGCGCAAACCGCATCTTGGGAATAAGTTGCAAGACATGCGGTGCTGAAATGATTGTTCGCTTCAGAAGGCCTCCCGGCCTCTTGGTAATCTCCCCGGTAACAGAAAAGTCTGAGAAGTCCTGGCTTCGCCTGAGCAGAGGTACTGTGAGCCCGACAAGTGCTCGACGGAAAAATGCTACCAGCAGAAAGCCTTGTGCAACCCTGCGTGAACGGACAATGCCAAAAGGCAGCGGCAGCTACCACTAAAGCTACACAGCGCAAATGCAGGCTCGATATCTCATGGTAGATGGCAACGCAAAAACAAATGAAAGTACAGGAGTTGATGGTGTCAACATACCAAGAAGCCAGTGCGTTTTTTCATCTTTCGGTTGCCACCGTGCCGACTTTGACTGTGGACCTGGCGCATGTTGTGACGAAACCAAACTATGCAGTCGGGCGCCCGAAGTCGATTCTACCAACATGGCCGGCGCCATGCTTTCCTCACAAACGTGTGAGCAGTACCTTGGCCCTCCAGCACGACGTCTTCTGCACGCGGCTTGCCAGTTCTCTTGTCGGTGCAGATGGTGAACTCGACCCTGCCAGCTGTGCGCTTGGACGTGATGGGATCACAAACGGTAGATGGCTACTGTCAAAACTTTGCACCGGGGTCGCGTCGTCGGAACAACTGGGGTTTCAAGAGCTGAGGTCGGGTAGGTTGTTTTACAGGACGGGGAGAAATCTTGCACCAAGGGCCCAATGGCAAAAATGGCAAACTGGCCGACGCATCTTCGAACCTTGCCGAAGCCTTGTCCCAGGTTCGGGCAGCACGCCATAAGGGCAGGACAGCGGCAGCACAAAGATTTCTTCACGAGTCTTGTCCTGGCGCACATCACTTCTTTGTGAGTGTAGCAAGACGGGGGCCGGTCAATAACTGTCAAGCACCTTTCTGCTTGATTGAAGCACTGTCAGTTCAGGCATTGTGAACTATATCCCGTGTTGATCCAGCTTAGTAGCATAAGACTTAGCGGCACGTGCTAGGCAAAATGCAGCAATGCCAGCCTGCATGAGGAAGCCGAACTGCTTGTTGTCTTTGTACATGGTCCCCTCGGCTGGACAACTTCGTCCTTGAATACACTCGATGCACAAACCCACCGGAAGGCCGCAAGTTGACACAGGGCACCAACCCACAGCTTGACCCGGCTGTCTACAGAAATGCCCCGCTTCCACTACTATCACTGCTTTGTTCTACTGCGGCGTCCCATGCAGGACAACAGCCACTTCGTCTTCTGCAGTTCCCCCAACACTACGTGCATACTCATATAGATTGAAATCCTGCGCCGCCGGACGAGAAATACCCAAATTGCATGACCTCTGGCCCAGAGTCTGGACATTGCACTGCGACTTGAGCCTGGCAGCTGTCAGCCTCACGGCAGCTTGCGCATCCTCGTACACGCGAGAACTCCTTCGATGTGAAGGAGCCGATGCCACATCAAACTGTCTGAGAACCAAGCTCCGACGCCCTCGAGCCAGGATGCCGGAAAGCTCCCTTTTTTGTTTTCTTTCTTTTTTTTTTTTT